AGGTGTGTAGGTGTAGCGTAACGTGATCCCAGGTGTGTAGGTGTAGCGTAACGAGATCCCAGGTGTGTAGGTGTAGCATAACGAGATCCCAGGTGTGTAGGTGTAGCTAACGTGATCCCAGGTGTGTAGGTGTAGCATAACGAGATCCCAGGTGTGTAGGTGTAGCATAACGAGATCCCAGGAGTGTAGGTGTAGTATAACGAGATCCCAGGTGTGTAGGTGTAGCATACGAGATCCCAGGTGTGTGTGTAGCATAACGAGATCTCAGGTGTGTAGGTGTAGCATAACGAGATCTCAGGTGTGTAGGTGTAGCATAACGAGATCTCAGGTGTAGGTGTAGCATAACGAGATCTCAGGTGTGTAGGTGTAGCATAACGAGATCTCAGGTGTGTAGGTGTAGCATAACGAGATCTCAGGTATGTTTGTTAGTTAGTATTCACCGTCTTTATTATCTCGAGTTATTGTTCGTGTTGTTTGTGTTCTTGGAGCTTCACCTGCCAGGGTATGAAGCTCTAAGCACCAGTCTCGTTACGACACAGTAAACAACTTGTAAAAAATAATATCAGGAGTGTTGGTGTTTGTATTAGTGTAATCTGAGGTGAGGAAGTGGGCACCTCTGTCGGCCAATACTTGTATTATTATTATTATTATTATTATTATTATTATTATTATTATTATTATTATTATTATTATTATTATTATTATTATTATTATTATTATTTTTATTATTATTATTTTTGTTGTTATTATTATTATTATTATTTTTATACTATTATTATTATTTTTGTTGTTATTATTATTATTATTATTATTATTATTATTATTAATATTATTATTATTATTATTATTATTATTATTATTATTATTATTTTGTTATTATTATTATTATTATTATTATTATTATTATTATTATTATTATTATTATTATTATTTTTATTATTATTATTTTTGTTGTTATTATTAATTATTGTTATTATTATTGTCATTATTGTTATTATTGCTGTTGTTATTATTATTATTATTAGTATTTTTTTAAATATTATTATTGTTGTTAGTGATGTTAATATTATTATTTATTCTTATTATTATTATTATTATTATTATTATTATTATTATTATTATTATTATTATTATTATTTAAATTTTGTGAAAGATTTTTAATATTAACATTATTATTAATTATTATTTCTATCATTATTACCATCAGTATTTTTCAGTGTAGTCACCTTATCGAACATGCAGCACACGTGCACCGCCTCACAGTTATCAGTGTAAAAAGGGAATATTTCTCATAAATCAGTTTGGTGGAGCAATGAGGCTGCAGCATACTTCTCAGGCAGGGCTCCTGATATAGAAATTCTGTAATGTTGTAATGCTTTTATATTGTGAACGTCACTATAATGCACATGTACCTATATTGACCACTACCTGTGTATATGGTGTAGCGTCACTATCACTCATTACGGTACCTTTATGGTGTTGCGGTACTATCTCTCTATATAAGGTACCTTCATGGTGTAGCGTCACTCACTCACTATAAGGTACCGTTATGGTGTAGCATCACTGTCACTCAATATGAGGTTACCTATGTGGTGTAGCGTCACTATCACACACTATAAGGTTCCTATATGGTGTTGCGTCACTATCACACACTACAGTATAGACCAGTGTTTCTCAAACGTCTTCACTTCATTCCCCCCATGAGGAACTCTCAACATGGCCCCCTTCAGTTCTCTCCCAAGCCCCTCACAAATAATGATGAAAATAAACTGTTTTGGTTCAGTTCCTTTATTTTAATGTTTACAATCATCAAACAGAATGCATATTTTGTTACAGTTCAAGGAATGGATGACATTGTTTCCTTTCGGTCAGTCGACTGATTCGAGGTTGAGTCACTGATAAAGCACATCTCATGTCTGGGTCCACATGTAACTGGTTTCGGCTTTTATTCTTTATTTGAAGATGGGTGGAGAAACCAGATTCACATAAATAAGTAGTAGAAAATGGCAAGAGGACTCGAAGTGCGATCTCACTAACTTTTGGATATGACTGATACATTGAGCATCAGAATAGCCAGAGATTTTTCTCCATAGAGGTCTCTGGCAACAGATTCGTTCCTGAGATCGAGGAATTCGTCCTGAATATCGTCGGGGATGGCAGCAATATCAAGAGTGCCAGAGAAAAGATTCCTCACCAATTTCCCTTCTTCCTCCTCGAATTCTGGGAAGTACCTTTTGAGCTCACTTTCCAAGGATTTCAAGTGCTGAATTATTTCATTTTTGAGTGATGGGTCAAGTAGATGATCCTCCCCCTCGATCTCCCCACCCTCCCCGATCTCCCACCCTCCCCCTCGATCTCCCCTCCCCTCGATCTCCCCACCCTCCCCCTCGATCTCCCACCCTCCCCCTCGATCTCCCACCCTCCACCTCTTTCTCTCAACCTCACCCTCGACCTCTCAACCTTACCCTTTGGTCTTGATTGATGTCTTTCATGGGTTGGTCTCCGAGAATGACCTTTGTAAAGTGATTACTTGGTCCCTGGAGCGTGAGGGTGACACCTCCTACTAGGGTCAGAAGTGTGGTACTGAGGGTGACGTGGTGATGGTGAAGTGATAGTGAGGAAAGTGTGGTGATGGTAAAGGTGGTGTGGTGATTGGTGACGGTGAAGTGATAGTAATTGTAAAGGTGACGTGATAGTGACTGTGTGGTGATGGTGAGGTGATAGTAAAGGTGACGTGATGGTGAGTTGGTGATGGTGACATGTTACTGGTGAGGGTGAGAACTGTGGTGGGTGATGGTGACGTTGGTAGTGATGGTTAGGGTCTCTGCCCTTGTTGAAGTGATGATGGTGAGGGTCGCTGCTCTGGGTGATGGTGAGGTAATAGTGATGATGTAATATTTGTCGTATCAGGAAGATAAGCAGCTTTCTGGACACACACACACACACACACACACACACACACATTGTACCGAATTTGGGAGAAGAATGTTATCATGTTAATGGTAGAGAGAGAGAGAGATTATCCTTACTTTTTTCAGCTGTAGGGAATACAGAGTGAACGAGCGTGTAAAACTGGTTGTGAGAGCCAGGGAGAGTCAGTGGGGGGGCGGGGTGAGGAGGGGAGGGAGTTGTAGGGGAGAGAAGAAAAGAGTGATGGTAAGGGATGATAGAAGAAGAAAGGGGAGTGAAAGAGAGTAGGAGAAGGGAGTGAGAAAGTGAGTTGAGTCAGAGTGTGTGTGTGTGTGTGGGGAGGATGAAGGAGGCGGTGGACCAGAGCGAGTGGCCAGACACCTGACCTCCTGCTGCCGGGTAGTGTGGAGGTCGCCCCCGGGTATAATGTCCATTATTCCATCACTGGCCGTCCTCTCGGGTTTGCCCACCTGTAACACTCACTCTCTCACTCCCTCATGTTAAGATAATCTTTTAACGTAACCTGTGATCACTGCCACTCTACACCTCGTCAACATCTTTCACTCATATTATACTCATGTGATCATATCCACTCACACAAACATACTATCATAATTTAAATATACCCCGACTTCTTTTACACGTCAAAATATTTTCCATATTTCTCTACAGTTTCGCTTTAAAAGACAAATGTGTAAGCAAGAAAGTGTTTTAATTTTCTCCCACAAATTATAACATTAGGAGCTGTTGTCTACACCAAAGACATCATCTGGTGTCCTGGTAGAGTACCCAGCCCAGGTGAGGGAAAGGTAACTTGTTGAATTATCGGAAAAATAAAAGTATTTAATATTTCTCCAGCTGCTTCGCCTGGCGTTAGGAGACCACCACATGACTGTCAGAAGGCGAGGATACCTGAGTGGCCGCTGGAATAATGATCAGGAATGTGGAGGATTGCGTTCGTCAGCTTCATGCCCGCCTTACCTGATCGATCAACTAACTTTGTATTTACGTGCGTTGATCTGTGTTGGCTTTGTGACGATGAAGCCACAAAATCCCCAGAAAGGAAGGAATCTGTTGTTATAATGTGCCGAGTTGCTCCAGCGACCAGGGTCCTTAAACATGGTTCCCACACTACCCACCAACTTTTAAACTGAACTGCAAACATTCTCTCTAGGCCATCGAGTTAGTGGTCATCCGAGGAATACCATAAAGTGTGCAGGAGGGAGGGAGCATTACGTCAAACATGGCAATATATGACCCACTCGCTCAGCTCCCAGGTGTGACACAATAACTCGCCTCACACCAAAAACTCCTCACATTGTTGACGTCTACCAATTGTTGATGCTAATTATTTCACGGGGGAAGAATTTTAGATACTGGTAAAAATTAGCTTTAGTATTGTTGGTAAAAGGTTAGCTTCTATTGAACAACAACTGTGTGGGGTGGGAGAGGGGGGGAGGAGTTGGTATTTTTATATCGGTGAGATGGAGGACAATGATGTGTTTTGTGTGTACAGTAAGAAATATATGATGAGGGTATAAAGGACAGCATACATTGTTGTTCTTCATTGTTCTCTAACGCTGGAGTCAACCAAAATGTTAAAGGGGCAGTTCTGTTTTAGTGTTTTCCTTTTGGTGTTGCTGATAGTCTTCTGCTGACAAATATTCCTGCTGACAAAACTCCCTTCTGACAAACATCCTTGCTAACAAACCTCCAATTGACAAACTTCCCAGCTGACAAGTTTTCTACATGATAACACATTTTACAGTCAAATTCCTTTTACGAAATGTAGTTTCAATATTATGGAATTCCCGTTATGCTTATCACTACCTGCTTGTGGCTTTTTACGGAACTCTAGTTACGTTAAAGGTGAAGGTGGTGGCGCCATCTACCTCAGCTCACTTCTGTGCTTCACAAGCGAGTTGGTGACTTTTTCCAAGTAATTGTTATTTTACACAGAAAGTCCCTGATGATCTTACAGGTGACAGAATTATATAGTTCATAATTCTTTAGATTATTAAAATGATGTGTAGGTCACGGCACTTCACATCTTCTCAAGGTACGACATGATACAAGTCAACGTTCCAAGATTTACAACAATAAACTGTATTTTACCAGTCTTTCTTAATGTAATGTTTATCGAAGAAGGAATATTGAGGTCTCTGGGTTATATTATAGGTACTTTTTTTTTAAGATGGAGGCGTCTCGTATAACTTGGGAGAGGAACTGACTGACTCACTCCACCCTCGTCGGAGTCATCGCTATTCTGGCCAGGAGCAGTAACACGCGTCCCTGACAACATGAAGCTTGGCCCGAGACGTCACCAGCAGGGTTAACATTGACGTCTGGTGAGATTTTAGTTGGGAATTTGTACAGGACAAGTGAATCAACACGATGGCTTAAGAGGCTCCCGGGTGAACAACGCTTAGCACCAAGAGTTGAAAGATTGACGGTGCTGAGAGTTACTTCATATCACAAAGCTTATAATACACTGCGGACTTAACCACGACCCGTAAAGTTCACGAGGCTGTGCTACCACCTCTGTGGACTTGGAAAATGGATGAACGTACGGGCACTTTTTTCTAAATAATTACCAACACCAAACTATGGTGTGTGTGTGTGTGTGTGTGTGTGTGTGTGTGTGTGTGTACACACACAAGATCCAGGTGTGCATGTCAGACACCGGCTGCGCTCGTTGATATCAGGAAAAATTATATCCGGTACATGTGTAGTCATCCATCTCGTGTGGAGACATATCCTGTGTACGTGTTTATTTATTACTTAATCTTAAATTAAATGAGCTTATAGTAAAACAATATATTTAATTATACACTGAAGTGATAATAGATGTATTTTAGCCTGAATTAACCAGCTTGTACTCTGAGACAGATTTTCTTTCATCGCACAGCCTCAACAGGTCACAACTTCCTGCTTCAAATACCTTCAGTCTTTGGCAAGGGGGACGGGACTCCTCTGAGTAGATTAGAATAGACGGTGACCCCTGTCTGTTCTCTCCCTGCGTCACTCATTTGGAAAAAATGGACTTTGTCTTCACAAACATTCTAGCTGTAGTTTGATGTCATTTTAGGGATCTCTGGTGTTGACATGTCGTGTGACGTCTTAAGAGCGGGTAGGAGCTTCATTAAACACGAAATATCTGAATTCTTCAACGGTTCAGAAATAACCAGGAGTCAGCGTCAAAACTCTTCCGCCAGGACAAACGCGCCCCGGGACCCTGACCCGGCGAGGAGACTGCCATGTTTTTAATGAGAAATCTTGTGACGAAATTGCAAACGACGTTGACATGGGAATATCCGGCCTTGGAGAGTCTTGTAAGAGGAGCAGGTGGTGAGTGAGGAGAGGAGCGCCGGCAGGCAGGTGCAGCTTAGGTTGAAGGTGAAGAAGACAAAATATTTTGACGAAGAGGTAAATGTTTAAGGTTATTGTGGGCGGGATAGTTTACAGGCCATGGGGAGGGGTGAGGCTGCTGGCATTATTCTCCTTGTTATAACGTTAACTTAATTACTCTTCTTACTCGAGAACATTTATTTGTCTTGGTTGATTCATGAATACTGCCAATTGTTTAATAGTTCCTAGTTGTTTACTTATACACTTGTTTGCTTTTTAACCACCCAATCCCCGCCCGCAACACAGATGTATTGACAGGGTGTTTTTTATTTTGGTGAAATAACAGAACTGCAATAAATTTTTTAAACACTAAAATACGGTATTAAATGCTTCATAATAATAATAATAATAATAATAATAATAATAATAATAATAATAATAATAATAATGACGGTGGTGATGATAATGTAGTAGTTTAGTAGCAATAGTAGTGTTTGTATGGCACAGTAGTACACAAGAGGCAGTACCGGAGGGTCGGTGGGATAGGTCGCCGCCTCTTGATCTGAAGCAATTTGTTGACAAACTGTTAGGTGCAATATTTCTTCCTCCTGTTTTTATTTTGTCGTCTTCCTCTTTTTTTCTACCCCCCTTCCTCTTCCTCCTGGTCTACCTCCTCCTCCATGAGGTTTATTCCTCCTTCTCCTTCTCCTGTTTACAGTTATCCTCATTTTTGGTCCTCATTCTCCCCTTTATCCTTTTCTTCCTTCTTCCATTCACCCCCTTCTTCTCTTCCCCTTCCTCCCCTTTTACATCTCTCTCTCTCTCTCTCTCTCTCTCTCTCTCTCTCTCTCTCTCTCTCTCTCTCTCTCTCTCTCTGTTTCTTGTCCTCCCCTCATCTTCGTTGTCCCCAATCTACATCCTCCTCCTCCTCCTCCCAATTCTCTTCATTTCCTCTCCTCCACCCCCATCATCTGTGTTTTCAGTCCCCCGGCCTAACTAAACACAGTTTGCTCGCCCACACGGAGAGAAAGTTTGGAAGCAGATGTAATATAAATTTCACTCGGGCGGCTCTAAAGTGACTTATTTTTGGTATTGATTTTATTTATTTATTTTAATCAGTTTTAAGTTATTTACCAGGTGTGTGTGTGTGTGTGTGTGTGTGTGTGTGTGTGTGTGTGTGTGTGTGTGTGTGTGTGTGTGTGTGTGTGTGTGTGTGTGTGTGTGTGTGTGTGTGTGTGTGTGTGTGTGTGTGTGTGTGATTACACTAAACAACAACGTGTAAAATTTATCAAACAAAGATTCTGTTTATAAATAATTTTGTTATTGGTGTTAATGTAGTTACCCTGATCAAGGGTCATTAACCACCGCTTTCCCTCTACATGAAGCGTCTTGTTAAAGTGGTTAGACGACAAAAGTAGCTGCCGTAGAGTGAACTTTTGTAGGCTTTTGTGGATCATGCGCCTTTAAATGATCCGATTACCTTTTGTAGTTGAGGATTTTTTGTATAATTATTTAACATTTTGAGGCGATTGGGTATGTTCTCCAAAACATTGGTCTGGTTGTGTTTATGTAAAGCTTACTCGTATATTGAGACTGTGATGATGCTTCCTACCATAATGTGTATTTAGCCTAAGTTTAGTGTTAATATTATGTAGTTGGCAGACTTTAATGCTTTGGAGGCAACTAAAAAGCCCTCATTCCTGTTTTGCATTTTAAGATAATTTTTGTTTTTTTTAGTTTATATGTTTAATATCTTCTGCTGATCATTAAGTTTATAGAAGCCTTTTTAAGTGTAGTTTTGTTAATACTTTCAACTAATTAGTCCTGAATTATTTTTTTCAGGTAAGCGTGAGGCGAGAGGTGGACCTGTGTGGTGTGAGGCGGGACAAGGAGTAAGTGTGTGAGTCATTGTGTTTTGTAGTAAGTTATGTGTGTGTGTGTGTGTGTTATTCTGGTCATAGTCTGTGTAAATAAAGTCATCTCCCAAGAGGTATAAGGAACACATCACGTCTCCTTGATGTGTCGGTGATAAAAATAGTGTGTTTCCGTATTTCCTTTTTATTTCCTAACTCGACATCCATTTTGATATCATGTGTCACCGTGTACCACATCTTGAGTCCCTACAGCCACTTGTTAACACATCAGTAAGGATAATAAGTATCGTTATTTCACTATTTTGACTACAGTAGTGATTTTAAAGTATGTGTAAATATATTAATAGTATCAGTTTTGTTTTCCTCTTGAGATATAGTGATTAGTTTAACTCGTGTACAGTACACTTGTCAAGAGGACGTTCCCCACTACTGGAGTACCTCGTTACCTCCACCGAACATTCGACTCTTCTATTCAGCTGCGATCTCGTAGTGAGTTACTGATCTGTTTGTTATTTTTATTCCTCTCCCTCGTGTGTGTAGGATGGATGAAGGAACAGAAAATGTAAAGAAAGGGAGGAGGAGATCTGATAAGATGAGTGGAGAGAGAGAGAGAGAGAGCAGCAGAAATATCAAGTAAATACCACACACACACACACACACACACACACACACACACACACTTCCTCAGTTTGTTTACCACACATACAAGGTACCCAAAAGTAGTTCTGTAACGCAACTTTCTTGGTCAGTCAGTCAGTCAGTGTAGATATTTCAACTAACATAAAACCGCTCCACGCTTTACTAAACTATCTGTGTCACTACAATCTAGCATCGTATAAATAAAATTCCCCCAAAGTTTTTATCTTCGTAATATTTCAGACACATAAACGTATTTCAGTGTGTGTGTGTGTGTGTGTGTGTGTGTGTGTGTGTGTGTGTGTGTGTGTGTGTGTGTGTGTGTGTGTGTGTGTGTGTGTGTGTGTGTGTGTGTGTGTGTGTGTGTGTGTGTGTGTGTGTGTGTGTGTGTGTGTGTGTGTGTGTGTGTGTGTGTGTGTGTGTGTGTGTGTGTGTGTGTGTGTGTGTGTGTGTGTGTGTGTGTGTGTGTGTGTGTCATCTCCCCAGTGCCCGGACTATTTCCTGCTCAGTTTCCTTTACACACAAAATTTGAAGAGAATCTTTTGTAATATCTTCCGTAGTTCTGACTCTTAAACAACAGCAACAAGGCAGTAGAAGATTTAGATGGACTATTTTACTTGTTTCGTAATTTCTAAAGTCGTGTGCTGTGAGAAAGTAAGATCCAGTGATTGTCTTATATCCCTGAGACGCCATTAACTGCGACACACCATCTCATTGTTATTAGAGCTTATTCTTCAACACAAAAAAAAGGAATAAGAAAAGTTGAGATTGTGGTCGTGTAGAGTGATTACATCAATCATAGTGTGTGATGGAGATTGAACAGCGTCTTGGGGTGTGAGTCAATACTTTCTAAACTCTTCTCTGGGTGAGTGGTTGACCTTAGTCTGGCTTCATAGTGGTTCCTACGGTGAATAATTCTCGTAAATCCAAGAGAGAGGAATGATCGTCTAGGTGGTTAAGACGTCGCACAATATTGGCCTTCAGAGACAACATGACACTAAGGAAGGGATTTTGCACCTCACCTCTATCATCATCATCATCACCACCACCTGCACGTTCATCATCATCACCACCACCTGCACCTCACCTCTATTATTACCACCTGCACCCCCATCATCACCACCACCTGTACCTCCATCATCACCACCACCTGCATCTCCCCACCTCTATCATCATCATCACCACCACCTGCACGTTCATCATCATCACCACCTGTACCTCCATCATCACCACCACCCTGTACCTCCATCACCACCACCACCTGTACCTCCATCATCACCACCACCTGTACCTTCATCATCACCCACCACCTGCACCTCACCTCTATTATTACCACCTCCTGCACCCCCATCATCACCACCACCTGTACCTCCATCATCACCACCACCCGCACCTCACCTCTATCATTACCACTACCTGCACCCCCATCATCACCACCACCTGTACCTCCATCATCACCACCACCTGTACCTCCATCATCACCACCTGTGCCTCCATCATCACCACCACCTGCCACTCATACAGGAAGAAGTTCAGTATGTATCACCTTTACATAAGTGGATATAAGATAATGGATCTCATGAACACTACACCCTTCACTTCTTCACCCCTTCACCTTCACCCTTCACCCCTCACCCCACCCCTCCCACCCCGTCATCCATCTACCCACTCATCCGCCCATCCAACTTATTTCACTTAAAGATAAAACACACTAACGCTACCTGGGGATTAGGTTAGGTTAGCGGGAGAGAGCTAAGGCAAGTAAACACACACACACACACACACACACACACACACACACACACACACACTTGTTTATATCCTCAACTTAGTTACGTTGGGTATAAAGTGAATATATTTATTTTCTTAGGAGATGTGTACAATATATTACCTAAGCCAAATGTATACAGCGGTCAATAATCTTATACATATTTATTGCCCTTGGGAAAGATTCTGTTCACCGTATACACCAACGTTCTTACGGGATGTGGGTGCATATAATCCATTAATCGATCTTAAATAGAACGTAATTCGAAACCTGATCAAATACATAGATTTTAATTAAACGAATTGGAAGCTGACTTTTTTGTAAGTATTAATTAAGATAAACTGCTTGGAGATCTAGTGAAGGTCGTCGAATATACATGGAATTAATTGAATAATGGAAAGATGCCTCTGTGCTGGACGTTTTTAAAGAACGCTAAACTCATCAGTCGTGAATAAGATCTTATTTCAAGAACTGGTCTCATCCATGAAAAAAATCGACCAAATTCAATAAGGCGGTGCACCTGTTCCCGCGTGGAAATTGCTTATCTGGCGAGGCTCGGCGCTTCACAAGCCAATTTTGGCGGGAAAAATCTCGAGGACAAGTGAGTTTGGCGAGCTTTGTTGCTGTCTGCTTTTACTCCACCCTCCCTCTCTCCCACTTAACCCCCTCCTTTCTCTTCACTTTACCTTTCCTTCCTTCTCACCCCTCACTTCCCCCCTCCCTCCTCCTCACCCGTCATTTCCCCCTCTCTCCCCTTCACCCTTTCACTTTACCCCTACCTCCTTCTCACCCCTCACTTCCCCCCTCTCTCCTCCTCAACCCTCACTTCACCCTCTCACCTCCTTACCCCTCACACTCCCCTCCTTCCACGTCATCCCTTCACTTTACCCCCACCTCCCCTCACCCCACCTCCCCTCCCCTCCACCTCCCCCTCACCTGTCCTCCCCATCCTTCTTTCTGTCACCTTCATAGTCTCATCGTCACGCTCTACCCGGCGGAACCTCTTTCTCTCCCTTCCTCTTTCCCTCGCTTCATCCTTTCATTTTATCTCGTCCTTCCTTCCTTCCTTCCTTCCATTTCTTCATTTCACCCTTCATTCTCACACTATTCCTTCTCTTCATCCTTGTCTCATCCTTTCTTTTATCTCCCCCTTCTTCCGTCCCTGCCTTTTCGTCCCCTTTCTCCTCATCATCAATCTCACTTTCCATTTATTTCATCTCTCTCTCTCTCTCTCTCTCTCTCTCTCCCTCCCTCCTTTCATCCCCATCCCTCTCTCCTCCTCCTCCTCCTCGGGCGTTGTCGTGCATGGGTTATCAATGGCAAATGTTCTTTTTAATGTCATGAAGAACAATGTGTGAAATTATTGTCATGTCACGCACTTGCCAGTACTTTCATGTCATGCACGTTAGATCAGTGCATGACATGACCAAAAGATTAGTGTTTTTCTATTATTATTAATATTATTATTATTATTATTATTATTATTATTATTATTATTATTATTATTATTATTATTATTATTATTATTATTACTAGTGTTCGTAGTGGCAGCAGCGTATTACTAAGGGTTCTCAGTTCCTCCTCACTCGTCTGGGTCCGACAGACAGCCCCAAAATGGTCTTGTTTTTTACCCACTTGAGTACGTTGGTGGAGATGACTGTATGTGGAGGTGCCCGGCGAGACTTCCTGACCTGCCATTGGTTGAGATGACCTGCGGGGTGAGGCTTCTTCCTGACCTGCCAGTGGTTGAGATGAACTGTATGCAGAGATGACGAGGTGAGGCTTCTTCATGCGTCATTTAAATAGATCTGGAACTAATGTGGTTATGTAATTCTTACCCACCTACCCACTCCCACCCACCTACCCACTCCCACCCTCATTCATCACTCATTTACATACTGTATATAGTTATTCAGGTTTACACACACACACACACACACCAGCATGGCCTATGGGTAGGATTAATGGCCTTTTATTCTATGTATATTATCGAGGTGATGTGTGTGTGTGTGTGTGTGTGTGTGTGTGTGTGTGTGTGTGTGTGTGTGTGTGTGTGTGTGTGTGTGTGTGTGTCTGTGTGTGTGTGTGTTCAGCCATCAGTTCTTGGACCTGCCTGTGGCCGAGGACGGCACTTGGCCGTGTGCAGTACTGGCCAACACTTATTGTTTATTAATATATTAGGCCCAGTAGTGCCTCACCATTAGTTACCTCAGGTTAGGTTACGTTACGTTACGCAAGTTAAGGTAGTTGTGGCGTTTGTGGTGATGGTGTTGTGGAGTTATGGTGTTTGTGGTGTAGAGTTATGGTGTTGATGGTGGTGTGGAGTTATGGTGTTGATGGTGGTGTGGAGTTATGGTGTTGATGGTGGTGTGGAGTTATGAATTAATGATGGGGAGGTGGTGAAGTGAAAACCTCAGTAATAGCCGACACACACCACCAATGATAATCCAAGGTGCTCATTGGCTTCTTCTCCACACTCCTCTTTCAACTCCTCCTCTTTCTCCTATTCTCCCATTTGTCTTCGTGGTGTTAATAGAAGTCCACGTTAAGAGTACCACACACACACATACACACACACACACACACACAGCACACACACATGATGTCATCTATA